TGGCAGCGTGTGCAGGGCTTGCTGGGGCTCGCTGCCTTGCTGCCCAGCAACACTTGTGGGCACCTTTATACTGCACACGCATCATTCTCGCACAGCCCATAGCACCAAGTGTGCATCGCACTCTCACACACACCAGACTTTAGCGCATCTACGAGGCAAGGCAGCCCATCACACACCTTGGCAGCCACATGTGGGCTGCTTGAGCAGCATAGCTAGCCTAAGGGCGTGTCTTGGGCGATTTTGCCTCGATTTGCATGCACTTGCCTCGGGATTTTAATTCCCGATTTATGTGTGATAAAATTAATCCTAAATTTATTTTAGAACCAATTCAGAGCAAAATGAAAATAAAACAAGTCCAACTTAATTAAATTCAATTTAAATAGTGCACAAGCCTAAATTATTCAAGAAACATTCTTTAAATCAATTTAGGTCTATCTTGATGCTACAAAATTGATGGGTTATACTCATAATTAATTTAACCATACATAAATTAATAATGAGATTTGACAAAATTAAAGAGGTTGGAAAAATAAACCCATTCATCTAATGAAAAATTTCCAATACTAACTTGTGTATAATTGAAAAATTACATCTTCCAATATGAAGATTAATTAAATTTTAAACACAAGTTTTGAACTTTTAGGACTTTAATCAACTCAAAAATCATTTAATCCAAGAATTAGTTCAACATGGAATTTAGCAATCAAAGTTCCAACCGAATAAACAATTAACATATTAGGGACTTCAAAATTACAAGTTCACCATAAACATTCACACTTGAAATAATTTATTTGCAAAAATGTGAAAATTTCAAGTTTATGTGAAAAATAAACTCACCAAATTAAGCACCAATTATGACTTCATAAACATGCTTAATAAGGTTTATAATTGCAGTAGATTAGTGATGCCACCATACATTTAATCTACCTTTAACATGCCATAATTAATCAAGGTTTAAAAGATTTAATATTTTTCGTCAAAAACGAAAAACCCCTCGAAAAACATGTTTCTGGGTGGATTTTGGCTTCCGGACAGTCATAAAAAAGGTCAAAAACGATTTAGAACATCGATTCCACCCAAAAATCACTATTTTTGAGTCAAAATCTGGTTTCGTTGGCCAAAATTAGTAAAATACGAGATTAAAACGAGCTTCTAATCTAATTAGAAAGCAAAACCGGAATTTAAATCCATTTTAAATCACCTCAATTAATTATTAGTTACAAAAATTAAAATGAGCGCGGCTCCGATACCGCTGTTAGGTTTCGTAGCGTCTAAACCTATGCGGAAGAGAAACCCGCCCAAGACCCGCCCACTAATTAAAGCAACTAAACATGCAATCATATAATTAACAACATAAGAGAGAGAAAGAGAAAAGACATTCTTAACCTTGACGCGTGCTTCGCTCGATTCACGAGCTCTTACTTCAAAGCTCGAGCCATGCGACGACCTCCTACGGCTCGCACCCTCGACTCGACCCGAACGGTCTTAATCTCGAAGGTTAGTCAGGACTTGACTAAACAAAACTAGAGCATTACGAACTTAAAGGTTTTCTCACTTTTCAAGGACATGCCTTTTTTAGTTTAACTCAAGTGATTTTTCCCAAACCTAAAACTTGGGTATTTATAGGGAATAGAGACTTGATCTACCTTCTCCCACCAATGTAGGAGATTTGCATTTTCCTCTATTTTATTTTAATCAAAAACAAAATAAAAATGCAAGGCGATCAAATAGCTCCAAGTGTCACATGGAGGGAGAGAGTAGGTGAGGACTACCAAAGGGGGGACCAAATCACCTTTCTCCCCAAGCCACACACCAAATCCTTGGTCCCCTCCTCTTGACCGGCTGACCATGCCACATGGCTGGCTGGCAGCCTGCTTTCGCTGCCAGTTGGCGCTTAGCACCAAGGTCGGGCAGCCCAGCCAGCCAGCACGCATCATACGCGTAGCCAGCTAGCACGCAGCACATGCGCAACCATCCAGCACGCAAGCGATGATTCTACGCGCTGCTACGCTAGCATGCACGCATAGCCCAGCATGCCTAGCACACTGCTGCTATGCGATGCTACTATTTGGTGCGAGGCTGCGAAGAGCTGGCACGCACGCACAGCATGCTGCGATGCTCATGCTAGGTGCGTGTAATGCTTGCAGCTGGGTGCATGGCCCAGCACACTAGCACGCTAGCATGATTGCGACTAGCAACACCAGCCATGCTAGCATGCTTGGCCTAGCAAGCAATGCATGTTAGGCTTGCGGCATGCTTTGCGATGTGCATGGTAGCTTAGGCTAGCCTAGAACTCGCATGGCTAGGCCAATGCGAGGCTACGACCTAGCTCGAACTTGTCGCTTCTTGAATCTACGTCTCGTCAAATTCTAAATTCGACTCGACTTACGACGCTCTTAGCTCGACATCCGACGTCTTTGTTCGTAATACTCTAATGACTCATTTAATCCTTCGGATTGATTCGTCGTTTCGGATCGGTTATTCGATTGGGGTGCGACCCAAAGGGTTCAGTCAAGATTTAGCCGTAATATTAATTATGCATTAATATTACTAATCGGAAGCGGTCTCCACCTAGGCATTCCGATAACTTGGCCTCACTGAATAATTAACTTTCTAATAATTCCGAACCCTCTATCGGAATAATACACTTCTTGGAAGGACACCATTCCTTTCAAAAGGTTAGCTTGTTCTACTCCCTTGTTATTTCTTTTGCTTTTGTTTTTCGTTATTCCCTTTCTCGCTTACTTTGCTTTTTTATAACTTGTTGCTTTTTGCTCTTTGTCGTTTTGCAGCTTACCAAATCTGTGGGGGACTTAGCCAATGCTTTGCTTTCAGCAGAGAGGGAATATCGAAATCAGAGTGTTGCCCTTGTTGAGAAGTATAAAGAGATCCAGTGGGTTTGTTCTGAGAGGGATGCGCTAGCTGGTGAGGTGGGCCCCCAGAAGAAGAGAGTGAATGCCCTTCAACTTCAGCTGGAGGAGTTCTAGCCCCTCAAGAGGAGGTTGGAAGACTGTGAGAAGGAGTTGGAGACTTCCCGTGCTAAGGCGCAGTCATTGGAGGTTAAGGTGGCTCAACTATAGGCTGGACGAGGGCTGAGCTTGTGGCGGTTAAGAAGGAAGCACTTAAGTCGTTTGTGCTTTCTCCTACTTTTGCCAGGCTGCTCATTAACCATCACGATGGGGGCTGGGAAGCGGCAATCCGTTGTGTGAGCCGCTTATATGGGGATAGTGATGATCAACAAGCTCGCTTTTAGATATTCTAGGCTATAGTTGATAATGTTGGGAATGTTGAGCAATACAACTTCCCTACTGATCATCCTCGTGCTGTTAATTGCAAGGTTCCCAACCATGCTGTGCTAAAATTGGAGGTGCCTTTCTGCCCTGACATTGCTGCTTCCATTGGAGTTGAGACTCTGGCTGACGAGCAATAAAGGTTTTGGCGGCTGTCTCCCACATCCTCTAGTGGTTCTTCGGAGTTTCCCTCACCTAGGTCTGTAATTACTAGGTAGTGTTTGTTTTTATCTTTGGGATGTATAGTCCCAGAGATTCTATTATATGTGTGTCTGTACTTGACACTTTTTATTTCTTCTTTGATGGGCTTGTCCAGCTTGACTTATTTTCTTTTGTTTCAACTCTTGGCTGAGTGTTTCTTCACCTTGGTGGGTGAAGGTTCGGCCTGGATATATGTATGCACTTTGATAACTTTGTTGTTACCTTGTCTATTGCTCGCTTTCTCTTGCATGTTCCTTTTCTGGGAGTTTTGCTGAGTTATGGTATAGTGATCCTAAGCCTTAACTCAGTATCTCCTCCCCTTTCCAGGTGAAACCACTTAGGTTAGGTTTCCACGCTGAATAAGAAATGCATGTCTTTTTTTCTTGAGTGCTTTCTTTAGCGTTTCTTACTACGTTTGATGTGCTTGCCCATTGGACCTGCTGCTTATACGCTTTTTGCTTTATTCTTGCTTGCTGTGCTTGTGCGTTCTTTTCAACGTGAGCTCACACACCCTGCTATTTAGCCTGTCCACCCCCCACTTGGCTATGTGGGGTTTTATTGCTGAGCCTTTTTCTCTGCATGGTATTGTTGGTATTTTGTCTCTCATTTGGTGAGGACTTTAAGGTTATGTCACTCACTAACTGGGTGAGGACATAGATTTGTGCTGCTCATCTTATGTGACGAGAGCTTATGTTTATGTCACTTACTTGGCTATGTAAGGACTTATGTGTATGCCATTCAGCCTGTTTGGTGAAGGCGTTTTATTTAATTTCTCACTCAATTTATGTGAGAGCTTGCGAGCGTGTTGTCCCCTCTACTTCCCACGAAAGTGAGCTAGGTGAGACCAAGAGAACCTTGGTGTTGGCCACTCAGTTTCCTTTTGTTTTTCGCTCTGCCCTACCATCTCAAGTTGAACGTGTTAGGCAACCACCTCAAGCGTCCCCATGGTGGTGCCCTGTTTTACTTTGAGTTGGTAAGTTTAACTAGGAAGTGGTGTCGTCTTTTCTTGGGTGAAAAGTATGACTCTGGGTGATCCTTGAGACCAACCCCTTTGGTGACATGTCCTGCCATATGTTGCCTTGGTACTTTTGGCATAGACATGGCAACTTTGATATTTCTAACGTCTCTGCATGTTAGTGTTTGGTGCTAAAGCATAACATAACTTATAAACATGTATAGACAAGTTCATATAGGATACTCCTCATGTAGAGGCTTGTATTTCATTGATTGAATGACTTAAATTGCCTTGATTAAAATTGCAAAAAATAAAAGGAGTTTCTCTATGCTTTTACTTGATTGCACGACTTTAAACAAAATACTTTTTAACACATCCGCAGTGAAACTGTTCCTTAAAACTCTACCTTCTTGGTTAGAGGGGAGGAATGCACTATGTCCTACTTGCTCGTGGATGAGGAAAGGGCCCTCACAGTTGGCTGACAGTTTTCCGTGCTGATTTCTTCTTCCAACTACTGCGGTTCTCCTAAGAACTAAGCCTCCAGGTAGCAATTCTCAGTGCTTAACTCTTTTCTTAAAAGCCTTTGAGATTTTGCTCTTCTGGGCAGCCTGCTTGAGGGCAGCTTTCAGTCGTATCTCTAGGAGGAAGTCCAATTCTTCCAGCAGGCGCTTCTCATTTCCTTGCTGCTCGTAGTGCTGAATTCGTAGGCTGGGAATTTGTACTTCTACGGGAACAATAACATCTGCTCCATAGGCTAAGGCAAATGGACTCTTGCCAGTAGCTTCTTTCTCCGTTGTTCGGTTTGCCCACAACACTTCTGGCACCAAGTCAGCCCAAAGTCCCTTATGTTCCTCTAGCTTTCTCTCCAAGGCTGTTAGGATCAACTTGTTCATTGCCTCTGCTTGGCCATTGCTTTGTGGGTGGCATACTGAAGCACTTGCATACATGATGTTCAACTCTTCCAAGTAGTCCTTAATGGTATCATAGTCGAACTGACAGCCATGGTCAACGACTATACACTGTGGCACCCCGAATCTTGTGATAATGTTCTTCCAAATGTACGTTCTGACTTGAGGTGTCGCTATGTACTTTGTGGGTTCAGCCTCATGGTGAAGTAATCCACTACTACTATGAGGTACTTCCTTTCCGCTGATCCAGTGGTGAATGGCCTATGTCCATTCCCCACAGAGCAAACGATATTCGGCTGAGAATTAGAGTTAAATCATTTTCTGGCTAATTGATAACTGGAGAGTATTTCTGGCACTTCTCACACTTTTTAACATATGCCAAGGCATCCTATGTCAATGATGGCCAGTATGCTCCTCTTTGGAGTACTTCAACTCCTAGATATTATCCACCAATGTGATTTGCGCAGATTCTAGAGTGTGCCTCTTCCATGATTCCTTCCTGTTCCCACTCTAGGATGCACCTCAAGAGTGGCTTGGAGAACCCTTTCTTGTTTAGCTCTCTATTCATCACTACATATCAATTGGCATCTCTCTTAACCTTTTTGGCTTTTGCTGTGTCATCAGGCAGTATGCCATGAATCTTGTATGTCAATATGTCTGAGAACCATACTTGCTACTGAAAGGTGCAGTTCACCTGCTTGTTTTCCGCAATGCTGCTTTCCTCTAGAACTTCTACCACGAATGTTCTTGTGAGGCTTTGAAGAGTGGAGCTGGCTAAATTTAATAGTGCGTTAACCTGGGAGTTTTCTGATCTGCGGACCAGGTCTACTTGAAAATGCATTAGCTGGGCTGCCAACTCTTTGACCCTGGTTGCATACTTCAGCATTGTTGGCTCTCTAGTTTCGTACTCCGCTTCAGCTGACTGGCTACCAGCTGAGAGTCAGTCTATAAGTGTACTTTCTTAGCTTCGGCAGCTGTGCTCATGCGCAATCTAGCCAGGGTCACTTTGTATTCAGCCTCATTGCTTGATGCCTTGAACTTGAACTTGATGACATACTCAAACACATTGCCCTCATGTCAGGTCAGGATTTTTCCGGTGCCGCTGCCTGTCTGGGTTGCCGATCCGTCTACCGCCACTTTCCAGATTCCAATCTCATCTTCCTTTTCTTCGTACAAAGCTTCTACTATGAAATCGGCTAGAGCTCGGGCCTTTATGGCTGCTCTTGGCTTGACTTCCAGCTCGTACTCAGATAGCTCAATTTCCTATTTCAGCAGTCGCCCTAAAGCGTCTATCTTCTGCAGAGCTTTTTCCAGTGGGTGGTTTGTAAGAATATGAATTATATGTGCATTAAAGTAAGGTTTGAGCTTCCTTGCTGTCGTTATTACGGGCAGAGCTAACTTTTCCACCAGCGGGTATCTTTGTTCAGCTTCGGTTAGCACGTGGCTTACAAAATAAACTGGTCGCTGCTGCTTGTTCCTTTCAACCAAGAGGACTGCTCCTATGGTTTGTGTTGAGGATGAAATATATAGCTGGAGCTTTTCACCTTGCTCCAGGCTGATCATTGTGGGGAGCTTGGTCAAATGTTCCTTAGTCCCTACGAAGGCTTTCTTTTCCTCTTCACCCCATTTGAATTCTCTGTTTCCTTTCAACAACTGGTAAAACAGTAAGGCTTTGTCTGCTGACTTACTGATGAAGCGGGTCAGCGCTACCAGCCTCCTTATTAAACGCATAATATCCTTAGTGCACTTAGGCTCTAGGAGACTAAGAACTGCTTCTACCTTCTCAGGGTTGGCATTAATTCCCCTTTCACTCACCATGAAATCGAGGAATTTTCCAAAACACACCCCGAAGACGCATTGCTTCGGGTTCAATTTGATGTGATACTTGTTCAGCGTGACGAACGTTTCCTCCAGATCTAAGGTATGCCCTCCCTGCGTGATGCTTTTGACGATCGAGCCATCTACATACACTTCTACATTTCACCCTTTCAGGTGGATGAACACCCTTTCCATTATTTTCTGGAACGTGGCCCCTACATTCTTCAACCCTAAAGGCATGGCAATGTAATTGTATACCTGACAAGCGCACTTTAGGGCGCGCTTTAGAGCATATTTTAGGATGATTTTGGATGTATTTGGGGCCGCTTTGGCCGATTATTACCTTGTTATGCTTACGTTCCCCATATTACGTGCTTCACGGGTTTTCGGTTTGTTTTTGATGTGTTTTCAGGTAATATCAACCGAGTTTAATCGGATCCCGAGCCCTTGATGCGTAACCGAGCTAGCCTTGACCGGAGTCCGAGGAGTTAAGGAAGTTCAAGTGCCGTGCATTGATTACATAGCACAGGCAGCACGGCCGTGTTACCATAGGCACACCCGTGCTGGCCTATAAGCAAGCAACCCCAGGCAAGGCAGCACGGCCGTGCAAGCCAATAGCACGGCCGTGTCAGTATCCACGCACCCGCACGGCCGTGCAGGCCATTAGCACGGCCGTGCCAGATGTTGCCCGTGCCCGTGTCAGCTTCAGTATGAGCCCCGTGCTAGAGCATATTCAGCATGGTCGTGTCATTTTCAGCACGGCCGTGCCAGGAAGCTGCACGGCCGTGCCATATATAGCACGGTCGTGCCAATTTGAAGAAGAAACCCGGTTTACTTACTGACAAGCTAGCACGGCCGTGCCAAATACAGCACGGCCGTGCTGATCCAGGGTTAACTGCGCGCTTGACTTCTCCGAATTAGAAGACGTATATAAGGCCCGACTTTAAGAGGATTAAAGGACAGTTTTCAGAGACAGTTTTGAGAGCCTTTGTAGAGAGTTTTTGGAGAACGTTCTTAGTATTAGAGATTCATTAGTTTTCTTAGAGAATTTCCTAGAGATTTTAGTTTTCTTGGATTGATTTGAAGCAAGATTTGCGAAGGTTCTTTGTATTATTCATTGACGACGGATATCGAAGTTCTGAACTTTTCCATTGATTCGCATCAATACAATTGGTATTATTCATTCTTGTTTATTAATCAAGCTTTATTATTCCTTAATCAGAATTCATGTTTATATCTATTATGCTTTTGGAATTCATTATTGCTTTGATTATGAATATGTGTGAGTAGTCTCCTAGCTAGGGTTTCGGGATGAAACCTGGCCTAGGTAATCTATGTAATTGAGGATTGATTTTGATAAACGGATTGTGATTAATTTGATTATATGCGATTGCATGTTAATTCATTATAATAGGAGTAGCTAACCTAGAATCTTGAATTTGATTGCATGATATTCTTGATTTGAACAAGAGATTGTGAATTGAGTATTTCATTATTGAATGTGGTTTGATTATGTATCGAGTAATGTTAAGTGCATGAGAAATCCAAGCTTAGTATCGCCCGTTGTCTTCCTATCACATGATATTGATCAGACTTATAGTCTTTGCATATCCCGTTTGTCTCTGTGATTCCTTGTTGCTTAGTTACCAATGGTTAGGCGGATTCCCGTTCTCCCTAGTGTCTTAGTTTATTGATTTATTCCATCTTATTAGTAGTATTTTAGAACACCATTTTCCATTGATTTCGAACTAGCTTAGGTTTAAGATTGATTTGCAATTACTCTCGTTCCTCGTGGACCGAACCTTTATTTGCCATTGTACTTGGTTATAGGGTGTTCGTATAAGTATTGTTTGATTGAGAGTTAGATTGTAGCGACCGATTTAACCCTTGTCAATACCCCTCTTCGGTGATGAATGCAATTTTCTGCCTGTCTAGCCTATGTAAGCTGATTTGATGGTACCCCGAAAAAGCATCCATGAAGCTTAGCAACGCGTGTCCACTTGTCGCGTCTACTAATTAGACAATTCGTGGCAGCGGGTAATAGTCTTTTGGACATGCTTTGTTGAGATTCGTGAAATCAACGCACATCCTCCATTGAGCATTTGCTTTCTTTACCATGACTATGTTGGCTAGCCACTCAGGGTAATCACATGGCTTAGTAAATTCGGCCTCTAGTAGCTTATCCACTTCTTGTATGGCTTGGTTCCATTCCGCAGTGAAACTTCGCTTTTTCTGCTTGACCGACTAGATTTCTTCTTTCACGTTCAGCCTGTGGACCATAACCTCTAGGTCAATTCCAGGAATCTCGCCTGCCGAGAATGTAAAGATGTTCTTGTTTTTTCTTAGCAGCTCTACGAGGTTTACCCGCACTCCGGGCTCGATGTCATTTCCGGTTTTTAATGTTCTGGAGTTGTCTCCCTCTGTGAGCTCGATTACTTCATGCTCACCGTTGGGTAACGGTCTGGCCGATTCCTCTTTTGCAAGCTCAAAGTTCTCCATGGCCAGCTTTTGTTTGTTTTTTTCCCTGCGATATTCTTCTCTTTTTCTCTTCCGAGACCTCCTTTCACCCTGAACCTCCTGCTTCACCTCCGAGCCTGACTAGGATTTTGCCTTTTCTGGTTGTTTGAGAGTTGTAATGTAGCACTGTTATGTTATTTTTAGACTTCCTCTGAGCTTGGTAGACCTTACATCATTAGCTGTATAGGCTATGGCCAGGTGATAGGTAAAGACCACCCCTCTTATCTTGTGGATGAGCGGTCTTCCCATAATTACATTGTAGGGTGAGGGTGAGTTCACTATCAAGAATTCAGACCCGACGTCACGTCGCCTGGATCCTTCTAGTATTAGGCCTGACCCATTAAATTCGGTGACTTCATAGCTCACCCTTTTCAGGTCTTTTTTCGTCCAGCTGTAAGCTCTTAAACACACCAATGAATACTATGTTGGTTGAATTGCCGCCGTCTATTAGTACTCTGTCCACCTCTAAGTTTGCAATCCTCACTGTGACTACCAGAGGGTCATCATGAGGGTAGACTATGCCTTTCTAGTCATACTCGTCAAACACTGCTCATGGTTGTGGTGGTAGGGGTGGCCATCTATGCTTGTCATTGTAGTTCACCTGGTGGATCATTGCGCGGAGATCATCTATTTCCTTGTTCACCGTTCCACCATGTACCGGTCCACTACTGATGACATGTACTCACCCTACGGTCTACTGTCACGATCTCTACCTTCACCCTAATCTTTTTGACCCTTTTTGCGGTCGTAGCCTGACTTATCCTCCTCTCTTCGTCGGCTGTAATCAGAGTGTTGTTTGAAGTGGTTCAGGTACCCACGTCGGACTAAATCTTCAATGTTGTCGTTTAGATGCGTACATTCGTCAGTGGTATGCCCATGGTCCCTGTAAAAGTCACACCACTTGCTAGGATCACGGTTTCTGTTTACCATTTTAGGTGGTCTTTGCCACTTGTCATTAGATTTATTCACCCCACTTGACCAGGACTGAGATCTAAAAAATCTCCATCAAAGAACGAGACAAGTGACCACATTGATAAGTAAAACCAAGTCTAAAAGGGTATTCGTACATCATTACGTGCCCTGGAGGACAACTTTCGGGCCTCTTTGAACCTTTTGGCACTTGAATCACCGCACTCCCCGGCATCCCTGCTAAAGCTATGAAAGACTCTACCTCCTCTTAAGTAATGTCGCTCGAAGGGTCATCAATTTCAACCATATCCGTTAAAATTTTACTTTCCCCTCTTTCCAAGACCCTAAACAAAAACCTAGTTCTTTGAAAGTTTGCTCTAATGGCCATAATTAAACCAAAAATTTGAAAGGAATGGTGTCCTTCAAACAAGTGTATTATTCTGATAGAGGGTTCAGAATTACTAGAAAGCTAATTATTCAGTAAGATCAAGTGATCGAAATGCCTAGCTAGAGGCCGCATCCGATCAGTAATATTAATGCATAATTACTATTACGGCATAATCTTGACTGAACACCCAATCGGGTAACCAAACCGAAACGATGAATTAATCCAAAGGATTAAACCAGTCATTAGAGTATTATGAACATAGACGTCGAATTCTGAGCTTAAAGCATCGGAAATCGAGCGTCTTAAATCGATAAGAATTTAGGAATCGACGAGACGAGATATCAAACAAACAACAAGTCATCGCATGAGAAAATCCTAGCCTCGAAGTGGACTAGCCAATCGAGGGCTAGGTTGGCTAGCATGGCTAGTCCAAGCCATTGTCGCAAGGCAAGGCTTGGTCGCAAGCTCAGCATGGCCGAGCATGCTGGCCGAGCCAGCCATGCGTGCAAGGCAAGGCCTGCAAAGGGCCAGCCGCACATGCTAGGCATGGCAGCAGCCAACCCGCACCATCGCAAGCAAGGCCAATAGCACATGCTAACTGAGCCTTACGCGCGAGGTAGTAGCATGCTGGGCTGCGCCTAGCACGAGCATCGCATTAGTAGCAGCAGCACGTTAAGCGTGCGTGTGCTGCGGGCTGTGCGTGCTTGGTTGCGCCTAACACAAGCATCAAAGCAGCATCTAGCTAGGGAATGCTAATGATAGCAGCACAGGAGCAGCAGCTCGCATGCATAGTGTGCCCAGCATGTCTGGTAGTAGCCCGCATGCATGCGTGGTGTGCTTGCTAGGCTGCTCGCACACTCAGCCATGCTGGCAGCACAGCCAAGCACCAGCCCACCAGTTGGGTGTGCCTTGGTGCGTAAGGTCTTGCTCCAGCTGGCGTGCGGAGGTTGGCTTATGTGTGTGAAGGGCGGTTTGTGTGAGTTGCTTGGGGAACAAGGGGAGGGCGGCCCCCCCTTGTGGTCCTCCCCTAACCCCTTGCTCTCCACTTGACACTTGTTGTTTTTTGATTCATTTACATTTTAATTTGATTTTAGAATTAAGTTACATTGAATAAATGCCTTTTTACAAACTCTCCCACATTCATGGGAGATTGGAATTCAAGGGCTCATTTCCTTATAAATACCAA